TGTTTGGAGCACATTTTCAGCAATTGGAGAAACCTGCAGGGAAGAAGGAAGGAAAATTCTGGTTCCTGTGCAAGTCTCAAGTTGCATTTAGGCTGATAAAAGTACATCCCGCCTTTTATCTATAAAGATTTCATTTCCCAACTTTTATATGTTCTTCCTATAAACAAGAAAAATACAGGATGATGCATGCATCAGAACTAATAGCACTTCCTTATGTAAGAAGTATAGATTATATAATAAGAAAACACACAATTTGATGGATAATGCTGGACAGCAAGATGTCAGGGAACAAACAAAATAAAGAATTCATTTTAAGACTACTTTGCCCGTTTGAATGACAACATGATTTCCTCAGTAATGGATCTGTACAGAAAAAAAAACACCATTACAAGACATCCTTCTTTAGGATGGATCCATCCAGAAACAATAATAGCATGGTTTCCTGTTTTACTAAAGAAAGATATGAAGCATAAATTGAAAATGGTAAATAGCTCTGCCTGTATATGATTATTTTTATCATATTGTCTGAGGTTTGTGCCTATATGTAGTTTAATAACTGCTTACTTCTGTATGTACCTCACTATACCAACTGGATTCTTCACAATAAATGCCCTCAATGCACAATACTTTTTTTTAATAGTGGATAACTGGTATATTACACAAACACTGTAATGCAGTCCTTACAAGATCCAGAGAAACAGAAATAAGGTCTTAATCCCACTCCCCCCTGTACTCAACCACCATATATTGAAGCAAATATCTGATACTTGAATCCAGTTCAGAAAGAAACATGTGCATGACTAGTTGAACACTTTGATTACCCAAACTTGGAATGCTTGTAGACATTGTTTTCAAATGCCTCAAAAAACATTGTTTTAATGGTTTCGGGATCTGATTGCAGGGCCAGAGGTTGGGAGTTTGATCCCCCACTGTACCTCCTGCAAGTAGAGACAATCTGTGTGGCTATGGGCAAGCTGCACAGTCTCAGGGCAGCCACAGAAAAAGGGAATGGTAAATCACTTCTGAGTATTCTCTACTTGGAAAACCATGAAAGCAGTCACCATAAGTCAAAATGACCTGTGAACACCCACTCCCAGACCCTGCTGGACCATTGTGCATGTGGCTACCATCATCTCCTGTGCTCCAATTATGGCAGTAGCTCAGCTGCCGCAGCCCCACCTCCCTGCTTGCTCAGCCACCCTGCAGCTAAGCAGGGAGACTCGTCCTCCCGCCCCCTTGCCAGAGTGGCTGGGTGAGCAGGGAGGCAGGGCTGAGGCATCTGAGCTACTGCCACGAGTGGGGCACAGGAGATTATACCAGCCACACACACCGGTGCCATGTGGTAAGTGGTTCGGTGGGGTCTGCGGGTGGGTGTTCATTAAGCCTGCCACCTGTGCCAGTAGGCTTTGTATTGCTATACAAATACAAAGCCCCCATCTCTAGTTTTAATATATCATAGCTCTTCACATGTGCTCTGAAGCTATGGTTAGTGCCAGTATGGGAAGGAGTAACTGGTATTAGGAAAAGAAAAGGGCAAGGATGACATGCTCCCTTAAGAAATGCCCCACCACCCAGTTCCAAAGCATGTTTGTGTCTAAACAGGCCACTGCTAATTTTTCAATTCACTCTGATTTTGTTTCCATATCATCTCTTTGTATATTTTTCTTCTGTTTTGAATAATGCACAAATAAGTGTGTTTGACTTGTGTTTCAACCACAAACAGAGAGTCAGACTACACTACAATGTTTTTGTTTTTGTTTTGCTTTTGAAAAAGTGCTCTCTCAAATGGTGAAAAATCTCTTTGTGTTTTACCATATGTATCTAGGGATGGGACCTCCCTTCCGTTTCCACACCATTTATTTGTTAGGTAGGAAGAAAAGTGCCTTGTTGCAAGGATTTCGTGAGACTTGCAAAGGTACAAGGGAGAGTGAGTTCTGACAAAGGCTGCCTCCCCACCACCTCATGCACCTCTGCAAATCACAGGGGATCCTTGCAATTCCCACACTGCAATTCGCACTGCTTTTATTCCCACTAGCTAGAGAAATGGTGCAGAATCAGTAAGCAGGTGGGAAGGCTGCTCTGCCTTCTGCTAGTATGGGGGCTTTCACTCTCATGTGAAAAAAAAAAGTGCAGAATCTTTGAATTCTATTATTTTACATATCAGGACATAATAAAAATCATCTGGTCCTCAACAGGTCCAAAAATTAGGTAAATACAGCCTCCGATAAACAACACATGGCATATTAAACTGCATCATGATTTATTTGACAAAAATAAAGCCAAAATTGAGAAGCTATGTGTAAAAAACTAAGTACACTCTTACTGCTTCCATGGGAATCTCTAAAAAGTAACAACAATGAACAGCAGGTTTTTTTTTTTAAAGCATGCTTTACCAAGTCTTTATGAAAGAAGGCAAATTAAAATCAAAGTCTGTTATCTAGACATCTTTATTTAGGTTCTTGATTGTGTTTTATTTCTTTGAGTCCCATGAAATGTATTTTTCTGCAAACCTTAGAATAAATAATAGTGAAGGTGGTGTTACAAATTTGCTAGAAAAGGCAATAATAGGCAATAATATTAGGAATAGCAGAAAGCAGTAAGCAAAAAAGAAAAAACTGAACATGAGATGGATGGACCAATAAATGGCCTCACAACCTTTACATTGCAAGACCTCCGCAGGACAGTTAAAGATAGGACTTTTGGGTGGTCATTAATTCATAAGGTTGCCATAAATCAGAAATGGCTTGATAGCACACAACATTATAGTAAGGATGAAAAATTGCTATGTACTACCCTAATATCAAAGGGATAATTGCTTGTTTTAAATCTGCCACAAAATTAAAATTCATATTAACATAAAACTGACTCCATTTTTAAAAATCGTCTGTAATCACTGTAACTTATATCACACTGAAGAACACTAGTTAGCTTCCCTTCAATTAAACACAGCAATTCCTACATATCTTTTGTAGATCAATGAAAAGACACATTGAATTTTCCTTTAGCCAAAGATTCTGTGAGACTCTCTCACTTCTCTCTATTCTGTGGTTTTGTTGTGCTGGTGGTCTTTTTCCCATCTATTATTCTTTATATTCTTCATATTAAAATCCTTGCCTCGACTTTGTCAGATTCTATATACTAGGGAAATATTTCTCATTCACTGATTTATGCATATTTCTAATGAAATGCCACGAGAGCAATTTCCAAATTTTGAAGTACAAAGCTGTCTATGACTAGACAGAGCAATAATCAGGTTTATGGGAAAACCTCTGAAAACCTTGTTCTAGTATTCCTCTTCTCACTCCCCATGTGGCTTTCTGTACTTTCCACAGGGAGCTGATACTACAGCAATGCACCTCCAGGTTCACTCTTTTCAAGTTGTTCTCAGGAAGCAAAGCATTTTTCATGTGCATTCAACTAATATCTAGTAGTAATTAATTCAGACATTTCTCTGTAGATATGAATAATAAAGTTGGATGTGACCGTCACATTGACATTAGAGGAAGAACCACATCTGACCTCAAGAACTTGCAAATTTGTGAGGACATTATCACGAAATAAAGTAAAATAGAATGCATTTAAAAATGCTAACTATAATGCGCACAGTTGAAAAAATATACACATATACATTTTAACCAATGGGTAAAAAATATGAAAATTAAATAAAGTGTGTAAATAAATGCATATATAGGAAAACTGAATAAAAACACTAACAAATTTCCTATGGACTCATCCTCATAGTCTACATGAAAAACAATGAAGCTAAAACTCATGTTCATACTACTAAAGTTCAGTATGAAACATGTTTGTTACTGAAGTAATATGAAATCACACTTCTGTTAGCAGAAGCTGATGTATAATTTCTATTTTACACATGTCAGTAACTGTTTGATGTTTGATCCTGCATGCAAAGATTTGTACAATACTTAAAACTATTCTAACCATAATGTAGTAGGCCATGACAATTTAATCACTGACTCACATTTTGTTCCAGAACGAAAACAGAACTAGATTCACAGTGTAGATATTTAATTACTTTGTCACATGCATGTTCTAAACAGTAACCAACATACTAGTTATACAAAAGACTTTTGGAACTAAATTGCCATAGGTTAAGAAATCCTTGTGGACATTATCTGTCTGGCAAACCAATGTCTCCCAAATTTCAACAACTTCCCACATGTAGTCTTTAAAAACTGACTGGAACAGAAGGTTAAAAAAAAAAGGTCCAAGCCACTAGTTCTACTGATTGTTGCTTTTCCCTTGCCATTAAAACCAATTGATACAAAAATATGTCCCATGTTGTTTTTCACCAAACCATAATGTGCTGAAACACTTGTGGCATGTTCTGCTTATCAGCAGCTTGGCCATACTTGGGGGAAATTGAAATGCGTTCCATTTGTGAAGCACACTGCAATTCATTGGGATCAAGAAATGTATCACACATGAGGCATGGGGGTTATTTTTTATATATCTGCTTGCTTCTTTTTTATTTTTTATTTTTATTTTAACTTTTATATAATCTTGTGTTTTATGGCTCTAAGTGCTTATGTGGGACACAGTTGCCTGCACATGTAAAAAGTTCTTTGGACATGAGCCATTTTATACTCCGTGATATACTGACATTCTCACTGGGGTCAGAAAATGTCAAACAGTTCGTCAAATGAAGCCAAATCACTAAGCTACCTGCATCCCTTTTCTGTAAGGAAGGCTGCTTGGAATCTTCCTTAGCTGGGCATTCAGAAGAATCAACAGGAGGCTTTCTTGCTTCCTTTAACTACCAAAGTTTTACAATTCTCAATCCAAACCAGCCAAACCATGTGGCCTCCCGATCTGAAAACATCAGTTATGATCTTAGATTCTTTATACAATGAAAGCTGAATAACTATACATAGGAAGAAACACATTCATATAATTTCAGCAAACAGAACATCCCAGAAACAGTGCATATGTATAAAACTCCAGCAAATCAAAGGATAAAGTATAGCAATTAGACTTACTTTTTATTCTCAGGTGGCAACGACTATATTTCCTTTTTTGCACAAAAGTTTCTGATGGAGAAAGGATGTTGCATCCTGGACTGCTATCTCTTTGTTTTATCCCCTTTGTATATGTGCACTAAAAGGTTTCCACTCACTTCTTAGTCACCCTCTTCACATCATCTGTCCTATCACTTGACATCAGCAAACATATTCAGAGTAGGCCAACAAAGGGCAGTGCCTGTGAAAAGAAGAATCGATGTGAGCCATGAAAAATCAAGAGGAGAGGAAACCTGAGATTGCTCTACAAATACAAAATAATAACAACAACAACAACAACAACCCTCTAATATGTATTTCAATCTAAGAATATGCCCCTTCTGTAATCTTTCTATAATAAGTAAACGGGGGGGGGGGGATCTGAAATAAGTCTAAACTAAGATTAACTACGAATTAAGCTTATCTAAAGATCAAACTATACATTAATGACAATTAGGAACATCTTAGGCTCTCCCTAATCATTACTAAAAAAAAAGTGTTTCCTTAATATGGATCAGATCTTTAGTGCCAACTGACATGGGCAGATTCAAGTTTGGCTTTTAATGAATAATTTATACATACTGTATCATCAACATACTAGCATACAGCATGAAGCCTGGGTAAAGTAATATGGAGGATAGGCTATTACTCAAGCAGCAGATCCCCCCTCTCCACGATGCTGAAATGGTCCAATGGAAAGGCAAGAGACAATACAACTAGTTCCAGCAACGTCGCAGTAGTTGGCAGAATGACACGAGCTGCCTTTGGGACTCCAGCTCCGGATTTTGCCTCTAGTGGCCTAGTGATTCCAGTCATGGCTTACAAGTGATCAGAAGAATTTATAAGCTGAACACCAAAATGCTTCTAAGTAAATTCAATTACCCGAGAAGTAAATAGGCCTTCTCAAAGAGAGGGATAGGTTCAGCTATTGAACAATTTCCACTCTCTCTATATATGATATATATACACTGCAGATAGTACACTGTACACTGCAGATAGTAGTGCAGGACAGAGAAAAGATAAACATTTTGACAAAAGCACTGTTTTTAGAGTGAAGGGGGGGTTGAATCCTGACAGCAGCTTTGTAAGTTTCAACTGTTTTACTGTAACAGCCTTCACCTGAACAATACAGTGCAGTAATAAACTCTGCATATAGGTTTTGTTACCTACAGAAAAAGAATCCCAGTATTACTGCTAACCTGAAACAACAGTAGAACAACAGCTAATTGGGATGGGATATGTAGAACAACAGTAGAGATGTTCTTCTTTGGGCACATAAAGAGAAGGCAGGATTCTTTGGGGCAAAAACAACAATGCTGGAAAAGGTGGAAGGCAGCAGTAAAAGGAACACCAAATATGAGATGGACGGACTCCCTAAAAGAACCCACAGGCTTGAGTTTAGAAGAAATGAGCAGGGCAGCAGAGGACAGGACACTTTGGAGATCGCTCATTCCTAGGGTTGCTATAAGTTGGAGGCAACTTGATGGCACATTAAAAACAATGTGCAACATAATTAAATGAAAACCTCGAGTCAAAGGTTTAGAAAAGTACTTCCTCTGCTAAAAGTCACAAAAAAATGATATATAATGACAGAAAGGTAGAAATGGGTATGGATGCATTCAGACTGACTGAAAAGAACTGAGCAATTTTTAACGTTTGGAATCCACAATATCACTTCATTTCTTTTTTAAAAAAATTCTTATCAGTGTAAGATCATAGTGACATTTGTGTATTTTGATTATAACCTTTCAAAAATAGTGCTGTCCCTGTATGCAGGAAGTACATTGGTTTTCTAGCCTTCAGCAGAAGGTTGTTACATGTTAACATTGTTGCTAACTATTTTGAAAACTTATTTGACTAGCTACAACTGCAGCTTGGAATTACTGTACTGGCTTCTTAAAATGTTAAGATCTTTCATCAAGAGACTCACCAGAATATATAAATGGAAGTGCCCCATTCTCAAAGCTGTGCACTGTTATGCACTCACCCCACCCCCCACATATCTCTAAACTAATGTATAAGAACGGCATGATACTCAAAATGGAAGCGACAGAATATATTTTCATTATGTTCCTCCTCCGCAGTCGCCTCAATTACAAGCTATAGAGTTGTAATTTGGAACATTAAACAAGCCATGTCACAACCTTAGCTCTCACTGAAGCCCTAGCTAAATTAGCAGCTGTACCGATGGACATGAGCTGCAGTCAACTTTGTAACAGTGGAACTGAAGTCTGAGTTCTTTTAAACAAGTTCAGCAAGTTTCTTAAACACGCAGTTTTCATCTTGCAATTTCACATGATAGGGCAATGGAAATTCTAAGCTGTGGTGGAACCCAATCATTAAATTTAAAGATTATCCAAGAGAGAGCATTTGCCATCAAAAATATACTTCTTTACAGTAATGTGTTTAGAAATGTTTTAATCTACTGTATAGTATAATTCCATCCCATTCACGGATTGCTGTCTTATTGTGGTGAAGGGGCTTGAGTAACTCAGAGAAGCTATGGGTTATGCCGTGCAGAGACAGCCAAGACGGACAGGTCATAGTGGAGAGTTCCGACTAAACGCAATCCACCTGGAGTAGGAAATGGCAAGCCACTCCAGTATCTTTGCCAAGAAAACCCCGTGATCAGAAACAAAATGCTAAAAGATATGACGCTAGAAGATGGGACCCTCAGGTTGGAAGGCATCCACCATGCTACTGAGGAAGAGCGGAGGACAAGGACAAGTAGCTCCTCAGCTAATGAAGTGGCTGGGCCAAAGCCGAAAGGACACTCAGCTGTGGATGTGCCTGGAAGTGAAAGGAAAGTCCAATGCTGCAAAGAAAAAAACTGCATAGGAACCTGGAATGTAAGATCTATGAACCTTGGGAAGCTGGAGGTGGTCAAACAGGAGATGGCAAGAATAAACATCGACATCCTGGGCGTCAGTGAACTAAAATGGACAGGAATGGGCAAGTTTAATTCAGATGATTATCATATCCACTATAGTGGGCAAGAATCCCGTAGACAGAATGGAGTAGCCCTCATAGTCCACAAAAGAGTGGGAAAAGCTGTACTGGGATATAATCTCGATACAATGATGTCAATACGGATCCAAGGGAGAGCTTTCAACCTCACATGAATACAAGTTTATGTACCAACCAGCAATGCTGAGGAGACTGAAACTGACCAATTTTATGAAGATTTACAACACCTTCTAAAACTGACACCAAAGAAAGATGTTCTCCTCATTAAAGGGGATTGGAATGCTAAATTCGGGAGTCAAGAGATAAAAGGAACAACAGGTAAATTTGGCATTAGAGTTCAAAACAAAGCAGGGCAAAGGCTAATAGAGTTTGTCAAGAGAACAAGTTGGTCATCACATCTTTTCCAACAACACAAGAGGTGACTCTACACATGGAAATCACCAGATGGGCAACATCGAAATCA